TACTTTCAATCTTAACTCAGACATGCATGAACGTATATGCATCCTAAACAACACGTCCAAAGTTGCTGCCTAACAATAAAAGGTAAGTATTTAAAATATACTCAGGAGTAGACAAAGTTAAACCCTGAAAATAATTAAAAGGGGAATTTACAATCCAAAAGTTGCTAGAGTCACACTAGAAAGCCAACAGTGAGCAGAACGGCAGTGTGAACTACAAGGGAGAACTGTTCGTAAGTCGAATTCGTTCATAAACCAACAAACTGAGTGCTACACAGCACTCCTCTGGAAGTTCACAACTCCAATGTTTGTAAGTCAGGGACTTAGCGTACTGAGCCAGCTCTTCCCTAGGCTAAGAGCACATTCCCAAACTTTGACTGCATCTTTCAATCCCAGACCCCTCATGTGAAAGGTGCTATTTCTGTATTCCTAGGATGTAGCACAGGAGATCCTAAAAGCACTATTTGCTAATAAAAGAATAAAGCTAACTCAAGTTTCAGGGAAATAAACCATAAAATGATTAAAGGAAGGTATAAAGTAGTATCTCTGAGGAAAGATTATGATAGATTGGGAACTGTTGAAAAAGTAACTGTCAAGGGCATTACAGGATTTCCCCCTCAATTTGGGGACAATACAGGCTAGAACTGCAGTACTGTATTAGTAACACAGGAAATAAGAACTAAAGTGACCCAGTGGAGTCAACCCTGGCAAGGTTACTAATATCTAAAAAGAACTTATTTCAGCCTCTCCTCCAGCCTTCTTTACCTAAGACCACTGCTGATTGATCCCATTTTATTGTCCAAGTACTATGAGTGCTTTCCTTGGCCAGCTCTGGTGCAGCAGTGTCCAGCAGGAGGGCCTTGGACAGTCTTCCCCTCGGGGAGGTGCTTCCTGGAGTGGGATCCCTTTCCCTAGGAAGAGTCACCACATTGTGACTGAGTTGTGTGCATTTTGAAACCACGAAATCAGTTCTTCACAGGCACCCTGAAGCAGCCTCTCCTGCAAAGGACTGGACGAGTGCCACAGAGAAGGATTCAGCATGTAGAACCCCAGGCTACTCACTTGGAAAGCAGCAATTAACCCTGAGCTTGCAGATTGCTGTGAGTTCCTCCAGGGCATGACTTAAAGAGGGTGCCCAGTAAGTTAATACATGAACGTGAATAAAGCACATTAAAGTGAAAGCTCTGAAAACCGTATCAGATGACCAGGCTTTTGTGAGAAGAACTAAATTTTAAAAATTCCTTTCAGATTAAAAAAATCATTTACCTACTTATCCATTTCAGGTGGTTCGTGTTCAGTGTTAAAATGTAGATGATAAAGCCTTCAAGTTACTTGTACAACACTGTTTTGACATAAGTAAAACCACACAGACAACCTTCTCTGCGTGTGGTGTGTATCTGTTTTCACTGGTAAAAGTAGCATATAACTGTATAATACCAGCACTCTGGAAGGCTGAGGCAGGAGGACTGCACATGTGAGCACATCCTGGACAATTCACCAAGACCCTGTCTCAATTAAACAAACAAACAAAACAAGGCTGGGACATAGCTTAGTGAGAAAACCCTGCATGCAATCCCCAGTACCGCCATGAAAAAAAGCAGTATGTTATATATTTGTTTTCCTTAACATAACTCCCTGTCAAGAAGTAGGCTTCTATTTTTCCAATTGCAGTGGCTGTATGGTATCCCACTGTATGGCACTGCCATAAAATATGTAACAAATCTCCTACAGAAGGGCAACTGGATTGCTTGCAATTTTAACAAACATGGTGTTACACGCTGCTGAATACACACTGCTCGGAGCCCCCTGTCATTTCTGGTTCTACCAGTGCTACACAGTTCACTCCAGGAAGCACCAGTTGTCACTTAATAAGCACTCAGATAATGGCACCTCCTCCTCGGAGTCCCACATTTCCACACCCCTCACAATCTCTTAATCAGAGTTACTCATATGGAGGACTCTCCATCCACCCTGTGGGGTTTTCCTGCCACTTATTTTAAAGTCATTTCCTGTGAACCTGCTTTTCTAAGTTGAGATTTTAGAAAAATCCATTTTCTCAGATATTAGAAAATTAATAGAAGCTCTTGATGCCTGCTCCTTGGCTGCACCTTTGTCTGGAATCTTCACTTCTCCCTTGGGGCCAGTCTTGGTGACTGAACAGCCGTTTCTCACAGGAGCCCTTCTTCAAATAAACAGACATTTTTTCCCCACTTTTATTCCACAATGCCATTCCCATTATTTCTGTTTAAGAATCACTTCATTTTTTTCTGCACAAAATATAAGGTTCGTATTTATTGTTTGTTCTTTGCTTTGTTTTCTATTTCACTAACTTCAGCAATTACCTTTATTATTCTGTTTGGACAAACTCAGCTCTTTTCCAGCTTCTGGGGCTGTATATTTCACTCTCCCAGTTTCAAACTTAATAAATTCATTCAAGGCATTGTCTTCTCCCAGATTAATTCCTTAGCACTGCACAGTTTCAGCAGGAACTATTTTTATCATTTAGTTCTAAGCATTTCAAAATTCCCATAGAGGAGTCTTTCTTAATCCAAAAGTTCCTTAAGAACATATTTTTATCTTTTGCCTTTTTATTATTGCTTTCTAATTTAGTTGCACTGCAGTCAGACAATGTGGTCTGTTCAATAGTTTCCTGAAAGTTTTGAGACACCTCTGAAGACCTAGAGCATGAGTTTCAGACATGCCCACACGCCTTCATGCCTACATTTGTGCTTTGGCACAAATTCTATTAGCTTTTAAGTCACGTTGGGTAAATCTTCAAACACTTGACTCGTTTTTTATCTAGCATATTCTAACAGAAATGCATAAGAGCTCCCATTATAATTGACCCACAATTTCTTCTTTAAATTATGTCAAAGTTTGCTGGCATATGCATATTTCATAATTACGTTCTCTGTGAATATTCTTTTTTTTCCCCTGGTACCAGGGATCGAACTCAGGACCCTGGGCTTGCCAGGCAGGCCACTGAGCTACATCCCTATGTGAACGTTCTTCAATACTGTAGTGATCCCCTTTTTCCTACTGACAGCGAATTTGCCTTGCATTCTACTTTTTTCTGATATTACAATCACTAGTCTACGTTTGCAGTGGTTGGCATTTGACTGGTATGTGTTGTACCATGCTTTTATTTCCAACCTTTTTTAATTACTTTGAATTATATTCTCTTCTAAGCAGCATAGTTGGATTTCTAAAATATTAAAACTGATAGTTTTTTATTAGACAAATTTAAATTAGGTTAAAATTAACTTTTTTAAAAACACTAATATTTATTATTTATTCATTCATTTTTAAATTGAGTTTATTGGTACATTTTAGGTATACAGTACAGTTACATTCATTATTGGGATCTTGTTCCTTTACATAACAGGTCTTGGCTCTCAATGTGAAATAGGAAGTAAAGGGCTAAAGGTGTAGGGAAAGTGGGAAGGGTAGGGGAAAGGTAATAAGGGAAAAGAAAAAAATATGAGAAAATGAAAAAATGGAAATAAAGTGTTTGTAAACAGGGAGGGGAGGAGGGGGTGAAAGGGAAAAGAAAAAAATATGAGAAAATGAAAAAATGGAAATAAAGTGTTTGTAAACAGGGAGGGGAGGAGGGGGTGAAAGGGAAAAGAAAAAAATATGAGAAAATGAAAAAATGGAAATAAAGTGTTTGTAAACAGGGAGGGGAGGAGGGGGTGAAGGGCAGGGACAAGGGGAAAAAATAAAATTAATTTCTAAGCTTAAATTAATTCACTGGGATTTCTACCATCTTATTCTGTTTCTCACTTACCCTCCTCCTCCACCCCCACTCTAGTCTGATTCTAGTCTGGTCTTGAAAAAGAAAACGTTCTGTTTCCATGTTTGTTCTCTTTCCTGCAGATCGTATTTGTGTTCTGTAAGGATCTACCCATCAATATTGGGTGTAGTGCACAGCTGCACCATTGGAGCTACCCTTGGATGACCCTCAGTACCTGTGAGCTTGCCCACTTTCACTATTAGAATGAAGCTAGCAGGGCCAGGGATTTAGCTCAGTGGTTCCGCCGTGTGCCTTGCAAGCGCACAGCACCTGGAATTTCTATCAACATTATCTGTAACAAGAATTGGAAACAATCCAAATATACACCAAGGGAATAGCATTATTGTGCATTAACGTGTTGGAATACTGTAGAATTCTATCAAATGTCTGCATAAAATCTAGATATAAAAATATAGAGGTCACAATGACATAAAGCTATTCAGTAAATAAAGCAGGACACTAACCACCACTGTGTGATGCTTGCTACGACGTGTGATGTGTACTACTCATGTTCACAGGGTGCTTATGAGGTGATCTAGTTAAAATTACTTTAAAAATTTCCCCATGAAGTACTTAAGTGTTTTTCTCTCTTCTTTCTATTCTTTTTTGAAATTTTGGTTGTGGTTGTCAGTATTCTTCTTCTTAAAAAAACAAAACAAAACCTAACTTTCAGTTCCTAACAAGGCCTAAGCTCATTTCTCATACTTTTTAGGTTAACACAAATCAGATCACCATGGTAAGCTCATATTTCACTACATAAATGTGTGACTGATTTCATTTCCTGGCAGTGATACACATTTGGGGAAAAAAAAAAAGTCCAACTCAAATTCAACTTAAAAGTAAAGCTTAATGCCTGTCTAAAATATGGGGTGCTCTAACCCGATTTTATTCTTAACCAGTCGTTCAGAAAAAGGGGAATTTCTGTCTAAAAATCTAGCACATTGCCTCATGTCACAAAATGTATTTGCCCTATTTAGAGGGCTCAATTTCCTTTGCCAGAGCTTTACAAAAGCCACCAATTATGAGTAAAAAATAAATTTTATCCACTCTTTTTCATGTTATCATATATATAAAACCACATTATACCTCAAAGATTTTTTAAAAAAACTATGTAAATACTGAAAATTTTAAAACTAGACACACAAATGATTATATTGGCTGGAATTAAATATGTTTTTAATTAATAGACCTTCCTTGTTCTTTTTTCTAGAGACTCTGACCACCACCACTGAATCTTGAAATGGCTAACAATTTTACTACGCCCTCTACAACTCCCCAGGGAGATGGCTGTGACCTTTACACACACCACGCCACTGCCAGGGTACTGATGCCTCTCCATTACAGCCTCGTCTTCATCATTGGGCTGGTGGGAAACTTGTTGGCCTTGGTTGTCATTGTTCAAAATAGGAAAAAAATCAACTCTACCACCCTTTATTCAACAAATTTGGTGATTTCTGACATCCTTTTTACCACTGCTCTGCCTACACGGATAGCCTACTATGCGCTGGGCTTTGACTGGAGAATGGGTGACGCCTTGTGCAGGATAACCGCGCTGGTGTTCTACATCAACACGTACGCAGGCGTGAACTTCATGACCTGCCTGAGCATTGACCGCTTCTTTGCTGTGGTGCATCCCCTGCGCTACAACAAGATGAAAAGAGTCGAATATGCAAAAGGTGTCTGCATATTTGTCTGGATCCTAGTGTTTGCTCAAACACTCCCACTACTCATCAACCCGATGTCTAAGAAGGAGGCGGAAAGGACTACGTGCATGGAATACCCCAACTTTGAAGACATAGACTCCCTCCCCTGGATTCTGCTTGGCGCGTGTGTCATCGGATACGTGTTTCCGCTCATCATCATTCTCATCTGCTATTCTCAGATCTGTTGCAAACTCTTTAGAACTGCCAAACAAAACCCTTTAAGTGAGAAATCTGGCGTAAACAAAAAGGCTCTAAACACAATTATTTTTATTATTGTTGTATTTGTTCTCTGCTTCACACCTTACCATGTTGCAATTATTCAACACATGATTAAGAAGCTTCATTTTCATGATGTTCTAGAATGCACTCAGAAACATTCATTCCAGATTTCTCTGCACTTCACAGTATGCCTGATGAACTTTAACTGCTGCATGGACCCTTTTATATATTTCTTTGCATGTAAAGGGTACAAGCGGAAGGTCATGAAGATGCTGAAACGTCAAGTCAGTGTATCGATTTCCAGTGCTGTGAGGTCAGCCCCTGAAGAAAACTCACGCGAGATGACAGAGTCCCAGATGATGATACACTCCAAGACTTCAAATGGAAAGTAAAAAGGACTATCTTGGACTTAATGCAAACTGGATGACCGACTCTGCAGGACTTCAAGACAAATGATCATTCAACTTTTGACTGGGATTCCTTTCGGTTCTTTTCACTGGGCGCCATTCGCCATGGTCAGTGTGGCAATAAACTGATTGATATATCAATTCAAGAGAATGTAAAGCAAGTTCTAACTCATAAATAATGTATCAATGGGGAAGCTGTCGTTTTTTTTTTTGGTACCGGGGATTGAATTCGGGTCCTTGCAAGGCAGGCCACGGAACCGCTGAGCTAAATGCCCGGCCCTTGTCTTTTTCTGTTTTAGTGGTACTGGTAACTGAATCCAGGGCCTTGCACTGAGCTACATCCCATCCTTTTTTATTTTTATTTTTTAAACTGTGAACCAAGAGTCTCTCAAAGTCACCCAGGTTGAGTGATCCTCCTGCCTCAGTCTCTCCAAGGGCTGGGATTACAGTGATGTGCTGCCATATCTAGCTAGGAAGCTGTCTTAATAATGCAATATGAAAGGAAAGGTTTGTATTAAAGGTTGGTGTCACTGCCAATTTCCTGCCAATAGTTTGGAAAAGGAGAAAAGACTGATTAGACCATATACTATGTGTAAAAATGTTAATATTGTACAGTATTTTTTATAAAGTATTTCTTAAAGCTATTATTCTTTCTTAGATTTTACTCCTCAGTAACATTTTGTTTTGTTGTATTTTGTTCTGATTCATTACTGTCTCACTGAACACTTTTGGAATAAAGAGTAGAATGCCACAAACTTATGAGTATGTCCCTCAATGTTCTCTGTTAACATCAGCACGAGTTACAGGGGAAAATAATTAGCAAGAAAGAGTCTGATAAAGACATTGCAAATACTGATGATGCCTGCAGCAATGAAAGCATCAAGGTCGCCCCCTCCTCAAATAGCCAGCCTAGTATTTAAAGGCCACAGCTTAGAAGCAGGACCAGGACTTTATTTGGCAGTATCCACTAGGAGCTCTACTCATTACATTCTTCTTGGGAATAAAAGTATGCATGTATGCTTAGTTTTTCTGGGTCTCTAAATGATTATTTCTTTTTTATTCCCAGGTTGCTATTATTACCTTGTGTCTGTATTTCTGTGGTTTGGGTTATGAGAAAGAGCTGGGTGGAGGTGGGGAATTAAGCAGCAGAAGATAAAGTTGCTACTTGCCTAAATAAGACAGGAAGTAAAACGCAAAACTATACATTAAGATCTGTCAGGATTCTTTCCAATATTATATACACTTGCTCAAATGAATACCTAAATATGAGTAAGTAATGTAACCTTTCTCAGTATAGTCAATCCATCTGCCAGCTCATATTAGTTTTACTCAGCCCTCCAAATATCCCCCCAAAAAGTGTCTCAGTTGGCCACTAAACCAATTTTGCTGACGGAAGATAAAAAAAAAAATGCTGAATCCTGCATCATACTTAAAATTTTTATTGGGCTTTAGGCCCTGGAAATATTTAAATTCTTATCTTGCTCATTTTTAACCCGGCAAGGAAATGAATCTTAGGGGCTGATGCAATACTTTACTGAACACAGTTCAGATATGCACTGCATTAAATTTCCCAGAGACCTTATGGCCTCTGAGATCAGACTCAGGTCTTTGTAACACCTTAGGGAAGCAGGTGAGACTACCCCATGGAAATCAGGATCTGTAGCCTTTCCTTTACTCCGCCTATTGTCTGTCCCAAGTGAAGGAGAAGAAAGAACAAAATGCTGCAGTTGTCGTTTGAGTCAGATCTCTATAAACAGAAACCATGGTAAGGGCTATGAAAGGAAAACTAGAAACAAAGTTTCCTTACTTTCAGAACCTCTCTATAGTAAACTATTACTCTGACCACAAGCGAGCCAAGAAGCTGTCTCAGTTAAATAACAGGGTGCTAATGGGGCTAATTCTGAGGATCCTTCAAACAAAAAAAGTAAATTCCTGTGGCAGTTTATAAAGGAACCAATTGCATATCCTTTTACCTATTAAGTTTACCATCTTCTCCCTCCACCTTCTCACAAATCTGTATATCATTTGTATGTGAATGATTCTATCTAATCATCGGTAGGATATTGACAAAAAGGTAAACTCTAAATCAGTCTCTGTTTTTAGTCTCTCACCCAGTCAAACTCAGCCATCAGCTCTCCTTTCAGAGCACAGCCTGCTGGTAGCCCTGGGCTTCACTAATCCTCCCACCAGGAGGTAAACCTGGAACACAGAGACAGCGCTAGATGACTCTTGCACTATTACAGAACAAAGAAAGTGACTGGGTACAAACGCAACTGTTTGAAAATCACAATCCTATAAGATTTTCAACATGAATCTATATCTATCTATCTATCTATCTATCTATCTATCTATCTAAAGTTTAAGTAGTACCTGTGAGCAACTCATCTGGGAAAACAGATCGATATTATGACAGCTAACCATATTTTTCTCTTTTATACTCCCATTTTTATTCCTAAAAATATCATTTGGTTATTTTCAAGTCCTCTATTTAGTTTAAATTTACTAAATGCATTGACTATTCAGTATGAGCAGAATAGTAAATGACAAAAGCTAGGGCATCAGGTATATTTGCAGAGGTCAAAAGCCTATGAAATACTCCACATATTGTGTAATGTTTTCATTTCCACAGCTCTGGGAACAGGACGAGCAGACAGGACCACCCACACTAAATCCAAAAAGGGCAGCTGGTCAAGTAGAGGCAGCATCAGCAAAGTAGTCCTAACTCGGTATCCTAGCCATAAAGAAGACAGACCTGAATTGCACGAAAAGGTATGAGAAGGCTGAATGGTGTCATTTTGCACCAGATCCTTAAACAGGTCCAATGAGTCAATAATTGGCAGAATACAACCTGGGCTAGGCTGTGAGCCCCAGGAAGATGAGGACCTTGTTTGTCTCATACACAGAACCTGGCCCAGCGCCTGGCCCATAGAAAGTTCTCCAATATTCATTTAACTGAGCACATTTCTGAACCACTCCTAGCAATACTCTGAAGTCCTACTGAAGTACCTATGAAGTCCTTTCTCAGTGAAAAGAAATGCCGTAAATGCTAGAGTGCCCGTGTTCCTGAAGACAATTATCCAAATATGCGGCCTAGAAGACCCTACAATTTAAACAAGATACAGAAATGTCTGGCCTCGAAATAATTTCATATTTCAAGAAGCTCCTGCCAGCCAGTAAAAGGGAGCATGCAAATTCGAAAGGGGAAGCACTGCTCTGAAATTAGTCCTCAAAATGATCTATTTTGGTTCCTTTTCAGCTTGTTACTCTCTGAAAAGCTTAAAAATGCTTGTTAGCTATCAGATGAAGGATGAGAAACAAAAGGCATGGATTAGAGTGATGTGTGAAGGGCCATTTTTCTGCGAACCTAGAGAGGACTACAAAGTACTCACCAGAAGCCCTGCTGACAGAGGTCTTACCTCACATTTGGGAAAGCCTATTGCTCAGAAGAAAACCCCGTGTTTCTGCGCATGCAAAGCCTTGATGAGGTAAGGTGTTCATTCTGTACTACACGCCACTTTCCAAGGACTGTAGGTACAGGTGTTACCATGCTTAATCATGGTCTAAATACTTGGATTTTCATTATCCCCACAGTACTGATGAGGAAACCCGACACCAAGGCCATGGGGTGCAATGGGGGTGAGATTTAACCCAGAACCTTCTGGCCGAGTCAGCAGCCTGACTCAGAGAAGCCCCTTACCACCTCTTCCTGACACACTCTCACGAGGGCAATCTAGTTTCCTCCGCTTGTCTGGCCCCATGGCTCCATTACCTGTGACCTCCTGGGTCATGGTCCCCTCATTGCCATAGCTGAACCTCAGCTCCCTTCCTCACAGGGCCTCCTAACTTCTCTGCAAACATCAGTGTCATTATCAATACACCTCCTCCTCCTCCCACTTACAGGAGTTAATCAGTGAGCAAATCCTCACTGGAGTTTCCTCCTCTGGTACTCTTTCTTGTTCATCTCTTCTTCACCCAACATCATCATCCTAGTCTGGAAAGTGGCCTTCACATACGTAAACTACTATCACCTCCTTCCCTCTGGGCCTCTCAAATAGAGTAAGAAACTTTATCTTTCCTGCAGGTTGCTGTCCAGAAAGCTAGCACTTTAATATAATGACCATAACATTTGCTAACACCTATACAGCATGGTGCTGTAGGCACCGTACACAGATAAGTTCATTTAAGCTTCTCAACAGTTCTGCGAAGCTCATCAAACTCTGGCAGTCTGGCTCCAGCTCTGAGATCTGCACTCTCAATCACGACATTTTTGCTCTTGGGTGGGACTACTTCTGGCCAACAAGTTGGTGGGGGTGCATGTTACTTCCAGGCTGAAGTATAAGAGAGCAGTGAGGGATGTCCCAGCCACAGGGAGCAGTGAGCTTCCTCAACGGTGGTACCTTTGCCAGGCTGAGTCCCTGAAGAAGGAAGACCAGAACCACCCGAGGCCCCATCTACCTATGTTGGACAAGGAGCACAAACTAGAAACATGTACATACTCAGAGCCACTGGGACTCCAGCTGCATCTGTAGCTACCACATAAGCTAGCTTATTAATAGCGTTTCACCTACTCGAAAACAAACAAAAAAACCAGTGCTCAGGGACGTAAGAAAAAAATGCACATACCACCCAATTCTCCGGGTGCACAAATTGTTCTCAATCCCACTTTCATTAGGTCATTTCATGCTCAAGTCCTTGATGGTCTACCACATCAAATCCAAGTTCCTCCCCATACTTTCAAGTCCTTTGAACCTAGTTTCCCCACACTGCCCAGTGTGTGCTTTTCCAATCCGTCAGGTTGGATTTGTTCTCTCCCAAGAACAAAGAACCGTGTTTGGTTCTGACTGGTTGGATTATTCTGCTTCCTGAACCTACTGTTTATGCTTCACTCCAAACTATATGTCTCCTTTAATTCTTTGATGACTTAAAGCCACCCATTTTCCCTCCATTTTATTTGCCCTTTACAGCTGCGCCACACAGCTTGAACTTGGAGATGTATTATCTCACCAAAAAAAGAAGAAAATACCATGCTAGCCTAGGCCTGAGGCCTAACCAGCTCCATCCCACTCCATCCAATCTTTAAGTCTTTTCAGACCTCAGTTTTCTTGACAGTGAAATAACTGTTAGATAATATGTAGGTTATACACTTTCACCTGCATTTTCCCTGTATCCTTTAACTAAAACATAAGCTCCAATGGGGTAAAACACATTGACTTTTACTGCTTTCTACTCTGGGTAGCTCTGAGCAGGGCCCCTTGAACACAGACACCTGAAAATATACTGACTACAGGTCATCACAGACTAGCTGAAGATACTGTATGTTTTGCATTAGTAAAGTCTAGCAGATGTGGAGTTTATATTATTGCATGCCATGATTTGTTAGGCAGCAACAGATTATCATAGAAAACATGCTAAACTGGAAACTGGACTGCCATGTCAGGATTTGTTTTTATTTTCTGCTGACCGTGTAAGAGGAGTGCCACAAGCTTTTCCACTTCCTTCTACATAAGAGAAAGTGACACATGACTACTTATACTTTTTTTTAATCTCTGATAACGCATACTTAAACTTATAGAAATCTCCGCAACGTTGTACTTGTTGGAAAGAAGAAACTGCATAGGAAGGCACCATACATAAGAAATAGAAAACACAATTAACTTTGCAACAGTTTATCTTCCCCAAGCACTCTGCAGACTTTCTCTTTCTCTTTGCTGCCACACTTACTGTGCTGCTTCTCCATGGTAACAATCCTTTTTAGGTGTCCACATGCTCAACTAAGCTGCAAGACACTCATGAGAAGGAGCCAGATTGGTTTCTGTCCCACATGGGACCTGGTACCATTGATCCGAAACAAGAACTCAAATATTTTTTGATTGGCTTTTTTCCATCTTTTCAGAGCGTGAGAACATTTATTTCTGGTTTCCATATCATGTAAGAATGATTTTTCCCATGCAGGTTTTGAGAAGAAAAGAGTGTGTCAGAGCGAAACCACACGGAGGCTGTCAAAGCTTTGAATCTTCCTCTCAAAAAAGCAACATTCTGATGTGTTCTTACTTGTTGAGGGCAGCAGTTCAACAAACTTCCCCCTAAGTCTTTCAGTGAAATATCTGATTGTTTTTTTAACACGGTGAAAACATTAGGGTTACTGCCTATATTACGGTTTAAAAAAATAAATGCAGACTATATTATTATACACTGGCCTATCATGTATTATAATTCAAAACAGCAAGAAAAGAAAAAAAATCATTGTCGTGGTTATTTCATGTGTTACTGCCTTTATTTCTTCGACCAATGGAGCAAAGACAAGGTAAAGGTCATCAAGTTGAATGTCACTGGTTTTGCTTAAATAATAGCTGTGAAGAAGACATGAAAGCCATACTAGGCTCCATGTAAAACACTGTTACACGACTGTCCTATCCCCGTGCACTCCGGTCTCTCTCTGGAGGGATCCAGCAAGAGCCTGGGACATCCAAGGTAGGCAAAGGGTACAGCAGGCCTGGGCCATACAGAATTCAGAAAGCAGACAGTTGAAAAGAAAAATGGGGTAAAATTTCGTATTTAGGGATTGTCAGATTGGAAGTCTGTATGATGAAGCAAATGCTAAGAAGGCAATCATTGCACTTTTTTTGGTGGGGGTACCAGGGATCGAACTCAGACACTTGCACTTGCAAGGCAGGCACCAGAACCACTGAACTAAATCCCTGGCCCGTTTTGCTATTCTTTCTGCATTTGTGTATGCTTGATATTTTTCATAATAACTTTTAAAACATGATGAGTACAGCCTTGAACACATTCCTACACTCTCATCACAACAGAGGTCGAAGTAGAAATTCAAGGAGATTAGGAAGAATTTAGAGAGGGAGACAGGCTACTAGTCTGTCTCAAATCAGTTAACTGCGACAGCCTTAATCTGTAAGAACTGCAAGCACAGTGGCCTCACATGGGAAGGGAGCTGCAAATGACCTTCAGGAAGTCCTAGAAAGAGGTGGCTGGTGTGACACAGTCACAACAAAAACAGGTTATATCAGAAATCCACACCAAAACATCAGCAGCATTTCATAAACACACACACACACACACACACACACACACACACACACGCGCGCGCGCACAGAATGCCCTTTGAGGAACTTCATCTCCTGACACAGGGGCTGTGTCCCAGTTCAAATTGCCATGTTTCAGATCTGGGCACACTGCTTTGTATGCACACACATGAAGTGAAATGTCAAGGTTATTTTCTTTTGATTACCAGTTCTGACAGCCAGAATCCAGGTTCAGGTAACAGAAATTGCTTAAGCTACTTTGGATGGATAAAGATTCTGTGCAAGGAATTAGGCATGCACAAAACTGCTGTAAGGACTTAAAGAGCGGATCTGCTACGCCTCCAGGAACGGACTCCTGGAGCGGCACACAAAACTGGTCCACCGAGAGAACTGCCTCCTCTGCCAAGCCTCACCAAGTGGGGAAATCAGTCCCGGCCGGAAGTGAGCTCTAAGTCACCACGGAGCGGAGTCTGGGGAGCCCCCCAGCAAAGCGAGCATCGCCTGTGCTCCGGGCTCTGCTCACACTAATCTCCTGGGCCACACAAGCACTTGTTACTGGGGGCGCACGGGCCATGGCCAGAACCACAGATGCAGGGGAGTAAGCAGCCGAGCACTCCGAGTTCCCACCTCTGCTTTACGGGAAGGTGAACAAGGAGGAACCCAGGGCAGATACTGGGCAAGCCAATCCAGTGTCTCGGGCTTTCCCATTTTAATAAAACATGAAAATACTGCAGTAAAAGGGAGGAGGGAGTGTCAGATGCGAGGAGCAGCTTAGGAGCCACTGCAAACAAACACAAAACCAAACATAAAAGAATCTCCCAGGTACCAGAACGGGGTGAACCTATGGCACTTGCCACAGCCGGCACACAGAGCCCCTCCTGGGGGCAGGCGGGCCAAGTCACAGCAGCCCCAGAGCATCGAATCAGCTGTTTTTTCTAAACTAAAACCTCAGTATTTTAGTTTCATTGCAGTTTTAGCACTCTGCAATAAATAAGAGGATTTTGGGTTGCCGTTTGGGCACTCTGTCTCTAAAAGGTTTGTCACCACTGGACAAGAAATTTGAATATACTTTTACTAGTAAATAATATTCTGGAATTATAAATAAATATTATGGTTACTTAAGAAATGTAATTTTTAAGAGCTTATCGAAAAATGGAATAAAATATGATATCTGGAGATTGCTTCAAAATACGTCAACTACAAATGCTGAGGAATACAAGAAGGAAGGAGGGCAAAAACACTAATTTTTGAATCTGGGTAATAACCTGCATTTTATTATTCTCTCTGCTTGTGTGATAAATATTTTCATAATAAAATACTTTAAAATATTATATCAAGAGAAATATGGAAACTACGATTTAATTTATTATTGCTTTACCTTCAAAAACTTTAACATTACCATAGCATTAAAGTAAACGCCATTTTCTGCCAAGTAACTAGATCATCCTCTTCAAAAATCTCAAGATCATGACAAACAGACTGAGGAGTATTAAGATTAAAGGGGAAAAGGGTTATACAACTAAAGGCAACATGTAAATTAGACTGGCCCATAGAACAGGATTTTCTTTTTCCTTTTTGCTATAAAGGAGATTATTTGGACAAACTTCCAAAGATGAATAAAAACATATTGATGTACTCAGGTGTAAAGAGACATTATATCTACAACTTGGTCTCAACTAATGCAGAAAAAACTTGTGTACATATAGAAATAAAACAAGCGGATGTTGAGAATGTCAGTAATTGGGGCATTCAGGTGTAGTGCATGAGGGAGTTCTTTGTCCTACTTTTACAACTTTAAAAAGCCTGCGGTATTCAAAAAATTTTTAAAGTATAAAACCTAAGTGGCAGTATTTAGGAGCTTCTGCCAGTCACTAAATCAAATTAAATGTAAATTAAATACAGGCACTGGCTGGAGTGTCCTTTAGTCAGCACTGTTTCAGGTCTCACTGTGTACAACATCTTCCCAGCTTCAGTTTTTCTGCAGTGTGTTAGCTTACCTTGCGTTCCTAATCGTAACAGCAAAATCTGGATGTAATCATAAAAGGTGGTTTTGGATATGAATATATGCGTTTACAAATATCTGTATAAAGGTAAAGTTAAAATACACATAGCAAACCTCAGCTTGACAAGTTTACATACTGAAATTACTTTCTAGTACAGTGAATAGATAACCACTAACTAGATTTTCTATCTGAAAAAAGAAAGCAGCATCAGGCATGCTGCCTGGAGAGGAATGTGCAGAAATTTCCCCTCAGACTTGCCATTTAAGCATCATCACCCAGTGCCTCGGCGGGTCCTCAGTATCTGTGCTTTCCCACGGAGAACACAGCAGTCACAGCACCTGCCCCTGTGAGAGGCATTTACATCAGGGACACACGCAGACAAGGCTCTGGGTACAAAACGGCTGTTCGATGTCTATCAGGATTTCTGAGCCGAAAGGGTAAATTCTGCCAGTGAAAAGTCTCCAAATGGAATAACCTTAATATTTCATAATATTACTCCACATTTATTCTCCAAGTTGTCAAACATGGAGACAAGCACTTTTGGTCTGGTTATTTCTTCATACAACAAATATTTATTCACTGTCTAAAAAGTGAGGCAGGCACTGTTCTAGACACTGGGATGACAGTTGAAAGTAACACAGATCAGGCAGAACTCGGAACCTCAGCGTAAGTCCTGTCAGTCACTGTTAAATATTAAGTAAAGAAAAATATAATTTTAGGGGAGAGTTAAATTTCAAGTGTTGATTCTAGCATTGTGACACCCAGAATTGATGGTCTGCCCAGCCAAATATTTTCTGAGCTACTTTACTAGCAAGTTCCCTTTCTGTTCAATCAGTGAGGTTCATTCAATTACTTTAACTAAAATCCAGCCCAAGCAGCTGTGTGTGCTCTCAGGTAACAAGCACATGGGTATTTCAGAGCTCAATATACAACATATGCAAAAAACCTCAATCCCAAGATAGGTATGAGACTGTTTTTATGTGTTGTGTATTTTGCTATGTAACCATACACATGGTTAGTATGTTGAAATTCTTTTCTTAGAATAACAATGATCTGAATCTAAAATCTTTCATAAGGTACAATTTTCCAATGATAAACAGGAACAGGAAGTGAATCTTGAATACAATCAGACTTCTAGTTCTCTTTCTCATTAAATGATCTACTTTGCTACCACCTGAGTCTGACTTATCAGCACTGAACTTCACATCATTCTATCCCACTAGTCATTAATATTTTATTCCTGTTAGAACAAAGCCAATTTCCAACTGGACTGGAAACTCTGACATACTCAAATATTTTAAGTCCCAAGAGGAAGATAGCTAAAATAAAGGAATTGAGTAGCAAAGCAACTTAACAAAAGCAGAAATGAAAACAGATGTTAAACTTCTTTGAAACAAATTTTTACTAATAGCCTTGACCAAAGCTATTTCAGTCAACTACTAGAAATACTCTACCTGGTCAAGAGATCTCAACAAGCGTCATAGGTCATGAGCTCCTCAAGTGTGTGGGCTGACTCCTCCCAAGGTTCTGCTCACCACCCACACCGCACACACAAGGACCACCATCAGGCCGATCTGCCCTCTTGCCTCATTTAGCACCATCAGACACACTTTTAGCTCTCACAGCTGGGAGAAGGGCTATAAGTGTCGACTGGGTAGAGGACAGGGATGGTACTAAACATCCTGCAACGCAGATCAGTCCCCACAAAGAAAATGGCAGACAAAATGTCAAAAGTGCCACAGTTGAGAAAACTCTAGCTTGGGTCAACAATGCCACTTGCCCTCCACAACAAATATGAAACCCCAGATCAGGTGGCTTCATGCAACCTTCTGGTGATGGTGTACAGATCCTTTTTGGCATGATACCTTAAATGCATCCACTGCAAAGACGCTCTGGTCACTGAAATCACTACAGTGTTAAAAGCACGAGTCTCCTTTCATGTTAAACAAGTCGCCCTGGTAAGTAACTCTGCATGCCGCTTTGATTCTGAAGGCACAGGGCTTCAGACATTACTGATGTCTTGACAAAACTGGCTAGCATGTCCTGTAATCATTCCTCAGACA